TTTTGTCATGACTGGCTCAAGTCACAACAAAACGGGAGACTCTAAAAAGTAATATTTATGAACAAAAACAACAATGGATTGTGGATGTCAGTATCAGTAGTGTAATACAAATGCTTGGATGTGGTATATGAGTGCAATAAACTAAGTCAAACTCAAATGTGCAAAAGGAGTGGCGTTGAGGCCTGGCAACAAAACACCACAACTGTCTAGTGCCAGAGCAGACGCCAAAGGCGACACAGAAAGTGGAAAAGGCCAGGTTCAAATACCCTGCGCTCCAGATTAACGGATCAGAAACACCTGCAAAGGGGAGGAGCACAAAGACATACAAAAGCAACACCTGCAGCCCATTCCCTAAGGCCCTGGGCCGTAACACCTCTGCCCTTAAGAAAAGGGTCCCAAAAGAGAACTTTAAAAAAAAAAACAACCTCAAAAACAAATATGAATTTAAAAACGTTTGGGCTGGTAGTACATTACCAAGATGTAGTGGTCAGGATAACCGGCGTCACGTCATCAGCCTTTGTGTCCCACAGCCATAAGTTGCTGTGCCCATCATGTCCGGTCACTGGTTAGGAAGACTGGCAGAGAACGGTACAGCAGCTGCTTCAACATGTTCAAGGTGCCTCAAGAGGAGAAAAGCACTTATGAACACAGACCTGACACACAAGTGACCTATCACAAGTTCACAGCCAAATCAAAATGAATTCACCCAGTTACCACTTGAAAAAGCAATAACCAGCAAACCAACCAGATCTGAACTAGTGTTATCCAACACAAGTGGTCCACTACCACAAAAAGTTGCTCCACAAGTCACTAACCAAGAAACACAATCGCCCTTAGCATGGTCCATCCTCAAAGTTACTGCTGTCTCTCAGCCAGCAACACCTAAAGGTCATGTCACTGTTTCCCCAAGTTTTCATCACACATGACCAACAAAACCTGGCGAGTCACACTCACAACAAGCCCATGGTCCAATCACATTTCCACATGACACTCAAGGCAAGATGAAAACTGCTCCAAGCTATGATGTTGGAGTAGTTCATAAACCATCTTGGACAAGCACACATTTCCAAGATGGTTTAAAGCCTGAACCTGATACAGGGTTTGTAAAGACAGACAAGTGACAATTTAATGCACCATGAAAACTTCAAAAGCAACCACCCGCAGTGTGTTCCGCTAACTGTCAAGCGAAGAAGCTTACAAACTGATCCCTGGTGTTTGGGAGGTGTCGCGATGGGTTCTTATGCATTTAAAACCCAGTGACGTGATAAAGGCGACCAGCAGGCTGTCACTCCTCAAAACCATGAAATGCTCCCGAGCCGATGAAGCTCCACACGCTGGACGTCCACAGTTGGAAACAATGCGGTGAGACCCCTGTTGAAAACACCCTAAACCCTGCCAGGGTACATCTGCTCAAAAACGTTTTATTAATGCACATTAAAAACGTGACACTTTCCAAAATTGCTAAAATCAAATCCATGGAAAAGCACCCTGCTCCATTATGACAAAAATGCACCGCACGTAATCCAAACCACCTGCAGGATTTGCAACTCTGGGAGATCCTGCATATCCCCCAAGACCGCACATGTACAAATAAGGAAAATTACATCACAGGCATAGAAAAACTTCCAAGAGTCGATGCTGAAAAGCTAGAAATCAAATGTGAACAACAGCATCGTACACTGTCAATGTGTATTGTCCTTTAGAACTATACATTGTAAAACATTTGAAGGTGATTTAACTTGAAAATAAAAGTCCACCTGCTGCCTTGAAAATGCAATGTTAGTCAACCGGAAAATTGTTTTGGTTTTAACTCAGAAATTAAAGTTCATAAAGTTGATTCAACAACAAGAGTCAAGTTGGCTAAATGTATTCTTCTTGAGTTGTGAGTTTTAACTGAATGATGCAATTTAAACAAAATATTTATTTCCCAATATGTGAGAAAAAATTGTAGTCACCTAGTTGAAGAGCACACACTTCTCCATTTTGTGTTCCCAAAAATGAAAATGACTTCTTATTTTACTTCAGAATTTAACAATTTAAAGTCTTGAAATGAATTGCATAAAGACATTTTCTGGCCTGATAATGAGTTTTATTAAACATCACAAGAATTCTGTACATAAACATTTAGAGTGAACAGCACATTATCATCAAGCATTAACTTACACATTCTTCATACAAGATTCAGATCAATGTAACACACTTCCATCTCACTCACGTTGCAGCACAGAAAAAAAAACATGCTGCTATGGGAAATAGTTCCCATTCCTGTCCTCTTCTTTCAGTTATTTTTTAAGCTCTAGATCACAGGTGTCAAACTCCAGTCCTCGAGGGCCGGTGTCCTGTAACCTTTAGATGAGCCTCTGCTGCTGCACCTGAATAGAATAATAGGTCATTAGCAAGGCTCTGGAGAACAAGGAGGAAGTAATGAAACCATTTCATTCCAGTGTTTTGTACCAGTGGCACATCGAAAAACTGCAGGACACCTGGAGGACTGGAGTTTGATACCCCTGCTCTAGATTATTCAAGTCTTGGAGGTTTGAGAAAATTAATAAAAAGTTAACATAACTTACAACTATAAGTTTATCTTTCACAAACTCACACATTTAGATTCAAAATCTTAAACTCAAAATGTATTTCACGTAGAATACAACTAACAGCAAAATCAAGGAAACAAACGTTAAAAGGATCTATGATTAGATGTAGCAATGAACTTTATTTGAGAAATATTTATTTTAGATGTAAAAACAATACAGTTATAATAGTGTAAGTTGTTTAGTTTCTAGGAATTTTAATAAAATATTGTCACACGAACGTGGCCATGTTGTTCATGCTCCAATAAAATGAGATCCTGGATAAATGATGTTCAGTGGTCTAACTGCTCTATTTCTCTCCAGCCAAAGCAGCAAGTAACATCTTTAAGCCTTTTCAAATTGAACTGGAGCTCGTAGAAATCACAAGCGGTGATGAAGATGAGGATGACCAAATGGAGGAAGAGGACAGAGTTGGCTGAAGAAGCTGGTGCTTGCTGCTGTTGCAAACACCAGCTTCTTAAATGAAACAATGAATGAGACATAGCTCTGGTCAGACTGTGGGATCCAGTAAGTAAGTACTCCTGCATCTCTGCGTCCGGTCAGGTCTGAGGCAGCAGAAATGGTGCCAGTACTGCTGCAGCAGTGGTCTGTTAGCATTTACAGAAGCTTCCAGTGCTGCCTGTCTCTGATGTTTCTTCCAGTGTATTTTGCTCCAGTGGCAGCAGGATTTAGGCAGTTTGTTAATGAAAGCACCTAAATCTCACTTTCAGGCGCTATGCTTTGAAAACGCTTTTAGGCACATTACCTTAAGGACGTGAAAAGTGATCCTTAAGGTAATGAAGGATCACCTGTTAGAGCCTTTGTCAGATTTGTCTGTACAAATGATTTAAAGTATTCTGGAGAGAAATGTTTAGGCCACAAATGGAAGAGTTGTTCAGCTCTGGCTCTCTCTTACTGTGCTTTTTTTTGTGTGGGAAATTATCCACATTCACATCACAGTTTTTGTTTGTTTGTTTTGTAATTATAGCCAATATTGACACATTATGGCATTATGTAAAATTATGCCAGTCAAATGCAATATGATAAACAATAACTCAGGTATAGTTAGCCTTCCTGTGTTTACTCTGTAGATAGGAGTACAGACTGTACCAAACTGCATCATCAACCATCAGCAGGTGAAGAAATGGCAACGTCCATGGGTGAAAAGTAGAACAAAAGAGACCCATTTTTAAAAAAGTAATTATGAGTTTTGGCGTATTACAAACAGCAATTAATTTGTTAATAGAAAAATAACAACTTCTTTAGGCCAACTAATCTTGGATCCCTTTAAGTGGCTGTCACAAAGTTAACCATTGTGCCATGTATGTTGGTGTATAGAACATGTATTAGCGGGTCTCAAATATTAGAAATACAGTGAATTTTGTGGAACATCGAGTCATGTCACATAACTGAAGTGTTTGTGTCCCATTTTATGTGCTCCAATTCTTGTTTTGCTATTAAAAAAGATTCTATTCAAAAATCAGCTTACCATCTCTGACTTAACATGTATCCAAACATTATAGAAATCTTTATTTCAGTATAAAAGCTCTTACATTATAGTGGAATGTAATAACAATACCCCCAAGAGGTTAGATGGTTATTTCCTGAATGAAGTCAAATAAAGTCAAAATGTCAAATTTATTTGAAATTTCAATCACATGCATTCCAGGTGATTGAATCTTCATCTTGGTAAACAGAGAGTTGTGTTGGAATAAGTCATGTTTTTGGGTCACTGACATGACTTCTGTGCCACAGTGCGTCCAATTCAGTGGCTTTGGGGAACATGTCACCATGCATACATCCTCATGCTGTGGAAATTGCATGAACTGTTTGACTTATAGTGAACATCATACATTGTCTGTAAACTTTAATGAAAGTTTTCAGACATTTGTCAGAATGAAATGCCTAAACAGACAGATGTTGTCTGCAGATGTTTGATAGACATTTGCTTAAACATGTGCAGAAAACGTTTGATGAATGTAAAAATCAAAGATTTAAACTTTGGGTGAACGTTGTCTGTGGACGAACTGCTTTCATTCTGATGCTCATGCTCAGGTTCTGAGGCTGTTGTCTGAGAGCAGCTGGGAAAACAGTCAGGTGAAACATTTTTGTCCTATAGCATAGTGACTTATTCAGTCATTTAAATAAAAGGCAATTAGCTAATAGTATGACCTGATGTAAAGTCAAATAAAGTCAAAATGTCTAACATAAATTAATGACTAACATTTAACACCTACAAAGTAGCTTTTTTCTTTTTTGCAGTGTAGTGATGGTCTATTGTGTATAGAAAAAGCAGGTCGGCCTTGTGGACTGATCTCTGTGTGTGTGTGTGTGTGTGTGTGTGTGTGTGTGTGTGTGTGTGTGTGTGTGTGTGTGTGTGTGTGTGTGTGTGTGTGTGTGTGTGTGTTAGGGTTGTGTTTGTGAACTCACACATCTCCAAAATAAGCCCCTTAGCGGATTTCCAGATATGCGCAGCATCGTCCCGCCGCTGCCTGGTTAATAATAGAACTGCGGCTGTCAGTCCCTCCGCTGGGCGGAGAGTCGGCCCACTCTCATTGGATGACTGTTTTTCCGTGAGATTCTCGTGAAGTGCTGGTGGGAGGAGAATTTCCAGCAAGCAGGGATATCAAAAATAAACCCCCGTCATGTCCGAGGGAAGAGCAAGACGTATAAAAGCCCCTGATGTGTCCAGACTGCAGGGCTGTTCAGAGGAACAGAAAGGATTCCGCAGACACTTCATAGACAGAACACTGCCTGTCAGTGTGGGGATCTAAGGGTAATAGTCCCTGCGCCGAGGAGGACGCACAACTTTCTAAACATCAAGCTGCATTTCCCCATGGCGGCTCTCTGCGTCTCGTGTCAGAAGATGCGCATCACGCCGCGTTTCGTCTCTTTGCTCCTCTGCTTAGTGAACGCAGCACTGGCCTCCCAGTTTGAGTCGGAGGATGTTGTACCTGTTCGGATTAACGGCAGAGTCGGCGGCCGCTTCTGGAAGAGAAGCGAAGAGAACCCCATCTTCACCCTCAAAGCGTTCGGCAGGAACCTGACTCTGAAGCTCATCCCAGACTCCAGCTTTCTGTCGCCGGCCTTCAGCATCCAGGGCGTCAGCGCCGGACGCACGGCCGAGCTGCGCTCTAACCACGATGGCTCCAAGAACCGGACACAGGACAGCGAAGGACGCCTGCGGAGATGCTTCTTCTCCGGAAACGTGGGTCAGGACGAGAACTCGCTCGTAGCGGTCAGCCTGTGCTCGGGCATCTTCGGTTCCTTCATCACGGAAGGGAAGGAGTATCTGATCGAGCCCAAATTCCGCAGCCGCCAGCGGCCGGACTCTGCCGAGCAGCTGCATGTGATCAGGAGGAGGATCCTCGCCGAGAACCGCGGAGTTCCCCTCCTGCTTCATGGCGCAGCGGGAACGCTCGGAGCGGAAAGTTTTACGCATGGAGGCAGTGATGCACGGAGGGAAACTCGCCGGAGACGCTTCGTTTCAGAGCCACGCTTCATAGAAATCCTGGCGGTAGCAGACTCGACCATGGCCCACTTCTATGGAGATGAAATAAAGGTCAGGAGACGTGAGATCTCTTTCACTGACAACTCCTGCTTTTAGATCCAACCCATTTTAACAGCACAGTTGATCCATCTGCTTAACAATGGATAAGAGGCTCCAGTAACAATATAGCAAACTTTAAGGGACCATAAGAACCTAAGTTTACAACAAAGTAAAGAAACCAAATTAACTACGTGATGAAAATCAACACATCCTGCTCAACCTCAGCTTAAATGGAAAGAAACTGGGTTTCAGTATAGACTTGAAATGATTATTGTTTTGAGAAGCTCCTCTTTTCAACAACAGGCTGTTCTGAAAAACAGCCTCCCCCAAAAACCAATAGTCACATCTGGTTCCGTCCAGGCTGGAGGAATGTCTGCTAGAAGCTTGTCAAAGTCTAGGATGGTAAGACGGTGGCATTCTGCTTAGAATCTATAAAAAAAGCAGAACAATTCTGACTTCAAGGATTATTAATCAACATGGTGTCTTTCACAATTCCACAAAACACATGAAACACCAGTTATTGTCTCAAACTGACATCACAACCTGCAAATATGAATGTGATGGCAAAACTTCACTTTTGTCAAATATCTCAGTAACTTTTCCTGCCATTGCTCTTCGCCTTAGTTCCCCCAACCTATCTGTTGAGCCTGAATTCAATGCTGGAAGAAAACGCACTAGGCATCGGTTTGTTTTCTTCGGCTGCTTCATAGAACGTGCTTTTGGCGCAGAACGAGGCTGAGAGGAAACCGTTGGGCTGCTGATCTCCACAGGCTGAGAGAAGGAGTCAGGCAACAAAAATGCAAAAAATGCTGGAGCACATTCCTTTAAGCTTTGTCACACATTGCTTCGCCATCATCCCAAAAGATTCATGGGATTTGCAAGATTTATTGATTGCCATTTTCTTTTCAGAGCATCAGAAACTGGTTAAAGTAAAATGAAGAACAAGTTCTTTGTAAAGGTTTTTGACACACCTTGAATTTCACATTACATAATATTTAAGTTAATGTGACAGAGCAGCATACAATACAGTTGGTCTAGTAATTGGATATTTGCAGTACATAATGTTTTGTTTGTTATATGAAATGAAATAAAACATGTTGGCTATATTTAGGTACCAGGAGCTCGGGGATGTGCTGAGCTTGTGAAGGAACTCTGTTTGCACATTGAGCAGCTTTGTCCTCACACTGGACAACCTTCAGCATTATTCTGTCTCTGTTGAATGCAGGAATATCCATCACTTAATCCAAAGTTCATAGAAGTTTCCAATCTGATTTATGTACAGCTTACGTCTCAACACCAACCACTGAGCTGTGCCATAAGCTCAAACTTTTCTCCATTTTTCTTATCAAAATACCTGAAGCTCAGTCAAGTTGGATGCAACACAGATTCTCAATTTGATTTCGGTCTCAATACTGACTGTAATTTTCTAATGCATGCATATGGTTTAATCCAAATAATGAATGCTCAGTATATATAAAAACCTGGCCTATGATAGAGCTCTGTAGTCTACCGCTGCTCTGTTGTGTTCCGTGTTTTTCTGTCGTGTTTATTTGAGTTTTCTGTGTCCTGAGTCTCCTGGTTGTCCTGTCTTCCCCTTGATTGTTCCCAGGTGTGTCTTGTTCCCCTGATTACCCTCAGTGTATTTAGTCCCTCCTGTGTTCTTTGTTCCTCGTCGGGTCCTTGTCATGTTTTGGCGTCGCTCCATGTCGTAGTTTGTGTTTGACCAGTTTCTACCGGTGTGAGCCCTGGCTTCCACTTAGCCGTGCTGCCTGGTTGCGGACTTGTTCGTTGACTGTTTCTGGACATTTTCACCATTAAATTACCACGACTCACTTTACCTGAGTCTCCAGCGTCTGCCTCACCACTTCCGCACCTCCACTTTATGACATGCTCAGATGGAAGTTTGTTACATTGCTCTGACTCTGGTGTGTCATTAAGGCAACTGTTCATTTTAATGAAACTGATGGTTTACAAAGCTTGAGGAGAATATTCTGTTCACACTAATCGTTTATGAGAAGAATTCATTGTGTTGTTTAATAAAATTCATTATCAGATCAGAAATTTAGTTAAACCAATTCAAAACAAAAATTGTAGTTATTCTAAAGTAAAATATGTAGTTATTGTTACTTGAGTACAAATGATAATAATGCAATTTAAACCAAATAATTATTACGTTAAAACTCACAACTCAAATTTAATGAGTTTAAGAAACAATGTTTAGACAACTTGACTCTTGTTGTTAAATCAACTTCATGAACTTTATTTTCTGAGTTAAAACCAATACAGTTTTCTTGTTGCCTTAAATTGCATTTTCAAGGCAGCAGGTGGACTTTTATTTTGGGTTAGGGTCAAACGTTTTACACTGTGCACATACATATAAAATTAAGTGACACACATGTTGGCTGTATTTACTGGAGGCATCAGTGTAAATGAAGAAGAGTAAAATTTTTCATGTTTTTCAGTTAGTAAAAGATAAAAATAAGTTTTACAGCACTTTTCTTCCACTTCACAATTACAAGCTGCTTTGTATTGAACTGCAACATAAAATCCCAATAAAACACACTGAAGTTCAAGCGGTAAAATGTGAAAAAGATCAAAAGGATGATGTTACGTGAACATCCTGACTCTGCTGCCTTCAAGCAAAACAAAATCAGCAGATTATCTTAAACCTAGAAGAGCTCTGTCTGTTAGCATTTAGCCCTGTCTGTGGCTGCCAAGCCATCTTAGGCCTCCATACAACCAGAATCAGATGAACTAAATCTTACACCAGCGACTCTCCTGAAGCTGTTCATGCAGATGTGCAAAACTTTCTATGTGGGACTGAAAAGTGCTGTCAGCCACATCATGGCATGTTTTCCAGCTGTTTCTCTTCCACACTCCCAGTCAGCAAGCAAATAATTTGACCTCCAGTGTCTGAAAACCTGTTCCAGGAGTGCCATGACCAGGCATCCCAGTTTTAGGGTTGATCAGTGTCTGATTTTTCCTTGTGCCTCTGACTTTAGTTTCTAACTGACTTTAGACAAAGATGTTTTGTTCCCATTAGAAGCAGAAAAGCAGGCCATGACTTTATAATATTAGAATGAAACAATAATTATTACTACCTTTGCTTTAAGGAGATGGGAGGATCATGTTATTAATCTGTATCTTTATGCATTTGGCATTAAAGCTTTTATAAAAATGTATTTTTTGCATATTTTTAAAAACTTTTTAAACCAAATATGACAGAGAAAACAGGAGTTTTCTCCGTCATGATGATACGGTTGGAGAAATATAATCTGTGATAAAATAGAACAGAGCCTGCTCTGGAATAGGAACCAGTTGCAGCACAGCAGAGACCATGCAGATTACCTGTCTCATGTTATACTGTCATGACATAATGAAAGCTTTAAGAAATATGTAAAAATTACATTTATATAAAAGTTACAAACTTCAACTTTATTAACAAAACAAGCAAAATATGTTACATTTGACTAAACCTCTTGCATTGAACTTAACTAAAGCATATTCTGTGTAACACATACTAAATAATGACTTATAAGGCATAACTCACAAGCAAGAGATTGTGTCAAAAACATTGTTTACCTCGGAAACAGTCTGAAACGCAACATTACAGTTTTACTGAGAAACATCTTGTTTTGCTTTTCTCTGCAGCACTACGTCCTCACCCTCATGTCCATGGTGGCCCAACTGTACAAGCACCCCAGCATCAAGAACTCAGTGAACATAGTGGTGGTGAAGATGTTGGTGGTGGAGGATGAGGAGGCTGGACCGGAGTTGTCCAGCAACGGAGGTGTAGCTCTGCGCAACTTCTGCTCCTGGCAGCAGCTTTTCAACCCACCGAGCCAGAGGCATCCTGAGCACTATGACACGGCCATGCTGTTCACCAGAGAGGTGAGGGTGGACCACTGCTCTGCTGTGTGCTTGTGATGAGCTCAGGGTTTTACCTTATGCTGTTCTTTTAGTGAAATATGATGGACTGATTTAATCCAGATGGAACTGCTGCACACTGTGTGCCAGGCATCAAAGTAGAGGTGAGGTATCATGAGTGTAAAAGATAAAAATAGTTTTACAGTCAATCACTGAGCTAAGATCTGCTTGTGGATGTATTAAAAAGTCTCAGCTGCACTCAGGGGAAATGCTTTCTGGAATAGCTTCAAGCCTCCCAGTCAGGTTAAGTCATAACAGAGCGATTAGTAATGTTGTCCAACACATTGCGATTAGCAATTGCTTGTAGCAGATATCCAGACCAACTTGTAAAAAGGTAAATTTTCTGTAAAACTAATAATGCTTGTGTTGATGGCAACAACTGCGATCATCCATCCATCCATTTTCCGGTCACCCTTCTCCCTAACGGGGTCGGGAGTTGCTGGTGTCTATCTCCAGCTAGAGATAGACACCAGCTATGTTCCAGCTGAGAGGAGGGGGTCACCTGGACAGACTGTTTTTGCAGTCTGTCACAGGGCAACACAGAGACAAACAGGACAAACAACCATGCACACACACACTAGGGAGAGTTTAGAGAGACCAATTAACCTGACAGTCATGTTTTTGGACTGTGGGAGGAATCAGAGTACCCAGAGAGAACCCTCACGTGCAGAAAGACCCTGGGCCATGAATCGAACCCAGAACCTTCTTGTAAGGCAACAGTGCTACCAACTGCGCCACTGTGCAGCCCCAACTTTCACACTTTAATACCATCATTTTTTGGCTCATTCAAAGGAGGTCTAGCATCTTTCACATGATAATTTGTCCACTTAACAGTTTGAAATTTGGGTATTTTCATTCCTAGACTTGGTTCTTTGAGGACCGAAATTCCAACATTTGTTCCATTTTCAGCTGCTGCAGTTCTCTTCCAGACTGCACTGTGATAAACAATATAAATCATTTGAAGAAATGGTTCCCCCCCCCTCACTTGTGGTGGTGGTGCACCAAGAGCTACTGAAGGAAATAACAGGAAAACTTCAGAAGAAGACACTGAGCACAACTTTCTTCTTCACAAAATGGAAACAAAAGTGGAGTGGCATCAGATTTTAAAGGTTGTAGGATTTCTCTTTTGTCTTTGGCTAAAGACTACAAGTCATTTCTCTCACTAGCATATAGGTCTTTCACAATAAGTAATAAATCGATTAACAGCATAATAAATTAAAAATGTCTATTTGCATGACTCATGATTTTTTTTCTCTTTTCTCTCAAAAACTGCATACTTGGTCTCAACTATCCTTTTTTGAAGGATGATTTTGTTTACCGAGATTTCATAATTCATTTTATTTGTGGTTTTGGTTTTTTTGTTTATTTAAATTTATTTAAATTTTCATTAATTTAAATATTTTCCAGTGTCCTACACAAGCACATTTTGGTTATATTTACCCAGAATGTCCTTCCTGCTGTTGGAGTGGTCTTCAGTTTGCTTGGTGTTCATAGGCATTCAAATTACACCACAGTTCACTTCAATTGTATCCATATTGAGGTTTGTAGGCAGACCAGAGTTCATTTTTTTTTGTTTGTACCAGAGTTCAATTGCCTGTACAAATGAACTGGACTTTTGAGGCCAACAAAGCAGAGTTTGGTTAAAATGAACGAAATGGAGCATAGCACCATTTAGAGTCGGTCTGAGGTTCATTTTCTAATACCCATGACACTTGTAGCAGGACTCATGCTTTCCAGATAGTTCTTTTCATTCAACAGAATATTTACCCAAATGTAAATAACCGATTTAACCCAATCACTGTTACTCATGGGATTAATTTGGCCATTTAATGATATGCGTAATGTAAACTTTGTGCTCTTTCTTCTTCAGTAGCTGTTTCTGCATTGAAACTCACATGGATGCCATTTTTGTCCACTCTCTCTTTTCTATTGTTGAATCACTGGGTTACTAGCTCTGACCTCAACATAGAAAAATAAAGAATCCCAGATACTTTATCTGGGAGGTTTACTGATTACTTACCTTTCTTGTGTGACAAATTCCTTCATTTCCCACAATCCAAATGGATACTGGCAAGTATAATTTAATTTAGTTTGAATTACTTCTTATTGGGGTCTGCCCATAGCAATGCATAAGGAGAGCAGTCATTGCCTCCATGCATTGCATGGTTGACACCTATTGTTCTTCACCTTAAGACCAGTTCACACTACACAATTTTTTGCCCTGATTTTTCTCTTAAGACGGTCTTAGAACGTTCTGAGTTCTAAAACTGTCACTTGTGACAATCGTAAACAATCATCCTGTAGTGCGTGGTGTGTTATGACTGATCAGGTCCAGGCAGTAGAACGTCGGGACCGCTTTGATCTAAAATTGGGGATATTCAACAGGTTTGATCGTCTTGGCTCGTTTATTGCAGTGTCTGTGGTGTTCCCCCGACTGGGAGCGAGAAGGCAGACTGTTGAATGTGACAGGTAGCCAATCTGTCACCTGCTTACGTCACAGCCAATGCGCTGTGACGTAAGCATGATGGGAATCCCAGCATGGTGCAACTCAGAGTCCATGCATATATTCTACATCATGCGACGGTATTTCCACACGTACAGCCAGAGTGACTTCCATGTATTTCTGAAAAATGTCAGACCTCAGTGCACACCATTTTTATCTTATCACTTTTATTACTGTGAGTGATGTACAGATATGAATTGCAGGACTATCAGAGACGACAAATAGCCCTCTCATACACTTCAAATGGTTTTCCGATACGTATCACTGTTCCCGAATGGGAAGGAGTTGTTCGGACTGCTTTTTTTGTCAAAAATGGCTGCCTCAAACAGTGAATTATGTCTCCCCCGTCTGACACACAGCTGGCAGAGAATCCATTACTGGAGCAACGGAACACAGCAGGGCCAAGCAGCTGATTAGGACTACAAAAACGCATCACTGTAGTTTTAACTCTGGCAGAACTCTATGTAATGAGCTGGTCTTTAGAACTACTTGTGTTTGGGAAATTTTATAACTGATTTTAACCAACCATTGGTACACAGAGCCTCCTAGGGAACATGGGGAATTTTGCGAGGGAACGCAAAGTAAAAAAAATTCCCCATGTCCCCTAAGGGGCTTCGTAACCATAGGATTAGTGTGGCCATTTTAAATTAAGTTTAATTCAAATTTCAAAATAAAAGCCTTGACAATTTTTACATCAAGTAATTGCTCTCTTGAGCATTATGTGATTTCTTTTTTAGCAAAACCACTGTTACACTTTGGATTAATTTGGCAATTTAAAATGGAACTTAGTGGAAATTTCAGAATAAAAGCCTTGAGAATTTTTACATGAGGTTATTGTTTATTGGGCATAATATAACTGATGTAATACTGTCACTCATGGGATTGTTTGGCCATTTAATATGAAGCTTGCTGAAAATTTCTGAATAAAATTGCTTTGAGGTTCAAGCACCGCCATAGGTGCTGCAATGATATTAGCTTGCATTATCTTTTTCTGTCAGGTTAGGGCACTGCTATGCAAGGCAGAGAATTAGCAATATCCTTTTACCTTGAATAAGCTTTTAGCTTTATTTCCTGCTTCTTAGCAATTTTTAATATACTGAATGGAGTAAGTCAAATACAGACAACACATGCTAGTGATGCCCCACATGCTACTGACAGTAGTCATGCTAACATTAGCATTTTGGCTAATTTTGGCTTATGCACTACTTTTAACATACTGAATGGTGCAAGTCCATGTTAGTGAACATGCTTGTGACTCTCCACATGCTATTGATTACGTTGCAACTTTCTTTAGCATTGATGCTAATTTTTAGCATCAGAACGCTAGGTCCAAACTGACAGGCACACTTTGGCAGGCCCCGGTTCAATTTCTTCAGGAATTTTCTAGTTCCAGCTACTAGTCTTTTAAGGTTTGTCTCTACTGGCTTTCCACATCTAGTGAAGCTGAAGCAGAGTGAGATTAGAAGCAGCTCATTTGTGAACAGCAGTTTTTTGATCTTGCCACAGATTCTGTTCTAAAGTATGTAATGGCACAACGGAAGGCATAAAGTCAAATCTATGATAAATACATTTTCCTGCCTTGATATGAACATGTTGGGACTGTATGTATGAAATACATACAGTAAATCTTTTAATTACTAATGTTTTACCATATGTCATACTAACCTATTTTCAAATAAACATGTTGTTCAGAGCATCTGTTCTTTAGTAAAGATGTTGAATGTCAGCATGCAGCTGTCCAAAGCTCTGATTTGGAAAAAAGAAGATGGTAGTGCAGCAGAAATCTTTTATGTGGCGACAGACGTCTGCCCTTGCATTTGTGACCTCACCTCACCCCAAACTCTGGGATTCAAAAGACATCTGGACTCAAAGATGCAGACAGTTAATGTGCACCCCAGCATGCAAAGGTACACAGTGTTCCACAATAGTAGCAATCACACTAGTAAGCATAGTTATTGATGCAAAACTAGATCTAGATGTGAAACACTGTGGTCATCATAGAAGCATACTAGCAAGCAGTCCTACAAACTAGAAAAAAATGTTTCCACTAAATGAAATATAGTTTCACAGCACAATTAAAAATTGTGCTGTGAAATAGTGCTATTATAGGTTTTCAACAGCAAATAGAGTTTCCTTCTGACAGATGCTTGGCATGCATTCATAGCCTTGAGCCGGCCAGACATTTAAGCCCTGATCCTTGAAGTATCTTCATCATAGCAGGGACTGATTTGTAGTGAACTGGATGTCAGCTTGTCTATGAGGAGACTTCTGTTCATATTTTGCCCTCTACATTTCAAACTGTATTGCTACGTAAATGGAAAATAATCATAAGTTGGGTTTGCATGAATGGCGGTTTCCCCTGATTGAAAGTTGTTCAACAGGTTCAACACAAGACAACGAGAAGCCATGTGTTCTGTTCACCGTTCGCTTGGTCCAGGTGCCAAATTTACTTTTTAGCATC